TGGACTAGTGTTGATGGAAGTGTGCAGGGCCATTAATCGCATCCTGCTCTGAAAGACCACGCACGTTGCCCAGAGTCACGACCTTGTGGATGGCTTTGCCCAAATGGGCTTCCCTAACTGCAGAGGAGTGATAGATGGCACGTATATTCCAATTCTGGCCCCAGACCACCTAGCCACAGAGTACATTAATCACAAGGGGTATTTCTCAATGGTTCTCCAGGTGCTTGTGGCTCACCATGGGCATTTCACAAACATTAACGCAGGCTGTTCTGGAAAAGTGCATGATGCATGCATCTTCAAGAAGCTGCAAGCAGCGACTTTCTTCCTAGACCAGAAGATGACCGTAGGGGAAGTCAAAATACCCATTGTGATCCTGGGAGACCCCGCCTACCCCTTAATGCATTGGCTTGCGAAGCCATACACGGAGCAACTTGAGAGCAACAAGTAGCTGTTTAACAACAGACTGAGCAAGTGAAAAACAACTGCTGAATGTGCTTTTTGGCCATTTTAAAGGCCTGCTGGCACTGCCTATATGGGACGCTGGACCTGGCCGATGACCACATTCCTAGGCTGATATCCACGTGCTGTACGCTCCATAATATTTGTGAAGGGAAGGGTGAAAGCTTCATTCAGGGCTGGACCACAGAGGCTCAGTGCCTGGAGGCTGAGTTTGAACAGCCAGAGACCAGGGCTATTAGAGGGGCACAGCGCAGGGCCTTAAGGATCAAGGATGCCTTGATGCAGCAATTTGAAGCTGAAAGCCCCTAATATTTGTTGCTGTGCTCAGGATTGCAGTCCTTGTAATGCTAGGAGGTGATTGGTGCACATGATGCAATAATTGTACGTTGCTTTGCAGGGCTCTTTTTGCTTTCAATTAATGGAATAAAGATTTGCTTTCAAACCAACACAATTCTTTTATTAAAAAACAACAACCGGAGGGGAGAGTCACACAAATCTTTAGCCGTCCCAGAACCCCTCCTCCTCTTGGGACCTTCCCTTCCCCCATCCGCCTCCCTGCTGATGTATTTTTTTGTTTATGTCCAGGGATTGTCTCCAACCTTCTTCTCTGGAGTACAATGCAGCAGGTGCTTGTGCTTCAGCAGGGCCAAACTGCAGAGGGATGGGTGTTGAATGCAGTAGGTAGTGGGAGTCCACAGTGCTGGACTGTGAGGCAGGGAGGAGTGGAATGCCGCGGGTAGAGACTGGAGCCAGGAGGTTGATAAGAGTGTGTTGGCGGTGTCTATGGGGGGCATGGGAAAGAGTTTTGCAACAGTTTGGAGAAGACGGCGGGCATGGAGTTCCTCAGTTTGAAGAGCTTGTATCACCTGGAGCGTGTCTGCTTGGCGCTCCATAACGTTTAAGAGCTGCTCCATGGCTTCACTCTGGCATGCCGCATTCTCCTTTCGGTCCCACTTCTCGCTGTCCCGCCACTCCTTCAGTTCCTGTTTCTCAGCAGCAGAGTACATCATAACATGAGGCAGAAAGTCCTCTTTAGTTCTTCTTGGCCGCTTTCTAATTCTGTGCAGCCATTCAGCTTCTGATAACTAAGAGGGAGGATGGGCTCCCAAGGTCATCTCTGTAAAGTTTAAATGCAACATTTTACAGAAGCATTATTGTTTGCAACACAGAGAACACTGATTCGGTGCTTGAAAACACAGCCAGTACTCACACACCTGTCACTAACTGGCTGACCCCAGGCAATCACACATGAGCCACAAGACCTCCAAAATGGTAAGTAGCCACAGGGGCAGGGTAAATCATTCTTACCAGACCCTGCTGTACACTGGGCATGTGGCTCTTGCGGAGAGCCAGCACTGTAGGGGGGGCCTGCTAATCATTCCTGTCCCCACACTTTCCACAGGATGTGATCTTTATTGAAGGTATCTCGCTGCCGAGGATGAGCAGGGAATCAAGGGAGGGTCATCAAGGAGGGTCTTCTCCAAGACTGTGGCTTCCACTCTGGCCGCTCTTCTCTCCCTCCCCCCGCCTCCATGACAGCAGAGTGGCATGGGAAAGTTTCTGTTAATGGGGCAAGAAACAAAGCAGCTCTGCTGAAGAACCTGTGGCAGCAGATTGCCCAGTATCTCCACAAGAGTTTCCTGGAGATCTCTGAGGGAGGTTCCCGTGAAGTGAGGGAGTCAACCAACAGCCTGTTCCACCGCTCAGACTAAGCATGCGGTGGGAGACCAGCCTTATTTCTGCAATCCTCCTGCCCCCAACAATTCACTTCAGCAATTCTGAAGATCAGATCCACATACCAGAGGCCTCTTCTGTTTGCACCTCGCCAATCTTCAACAGTTGTAACTGGTTAGGCTCCTCTGGGGTAGAAAAGAGCTCCTGACTGCATGCATCTCTGGCCTCCGAGCCATCTTCTGCCTCTGGGTCCCCCTTCCCCTCCTCGTCCAAGATTTCCTCCTCCAGGCTCAGTCCACTCTCAACTGGCACGCAAGCCAATGACGTATCCACAGGGGCCTTCACAGTGGAGGTGGGGTCTCAGCCAAGTATCGTGTCCAGCTCTTTGTAGAACCGGCAGCTCGTGGGCGCAGCACTGGAGCAGCGGTTTGCCTCCTGCACTTTGTGGTAGGCGTTCCGCAGCTTCCTCACTTTGACCCTACATTGCAATGTGTCCCGGTCATGGCCCCTTTCTGTCATGCATCGTGAAATCTGTCTGTAGGTATCATAATTCCTACAGCTGGAGCGCAGCTGGGACTGGACAGCCTCCTCTCCCCAAATGTTAATAAGGTCCAGCAGCTCGGCACTGTTCCAAGCGGGGGATCGCCTGGTGCGTGGAGCAGGCATGGCCACCTGGAAAGATGTGCTGAGACCACTGCACGCATCACCGAGCAAACAGGAAAGGGACTTGCAAAATTCCAAAGGAATTTACAGGGTAGGGATGAGAGTTGGTCACCTGAGGGCAGGGCAGTAGAGTTCAAACCGATGACTAGAGAGGCAAGAACAGGCATTGTGGGACACCTCCTGGAGGCCAATCATAGCACTGTAATCGACCAGGGTGTATATACGGGCACCGCAGCACTGTAGCCCCGGCACAGAAAGCTGTACGTATTTCATTGGGGTGGCTTTTTTAAATCACTACAGCTGGGCAGTTTTTGCGCACTAAGTGGCTTGGCAGTGTGTACACCTCCGGAGTTACAACACAGAAAGCTGCTTTACTGCACAGAAACTTGCAAGTGTAGACAGGGCCTCACAGTGTTAACACACAACAGCGGTTTTCCTTCAGCACCCTCTGAGTGGCGCTGTAAGTCTGCCAGTGCAGACATGCCCTGACTGTACACTTTCAGTGCCCTTATTAAAAAGTAAGTAAGTAATATACCAATTGAAAAGACTGTTAGGTTTTAAAAGTTATTTCAGTAAATAATTGAATATGTTTTTAGTAACATTGGCAAGGAAGCTTTTTTTCTTTCCTTTTTTCACTAGGATGTCCTGATCCTGCAAACACTTGGCTTAATTTTACACATCTGAATAGCTTCGTTGACTTCAGTGATACTACTCACATGCTTAAAATTAAGCTTATGCTTAAATTTTCACGAGATCAGGGTCAAGGCTTTTTATCATGACAGTTTCCCTTCAAATATTGCAGATTTTAGATTGTTTATACAGTAGTCTCAGCACTGGACAGCAGAAGGCAAGATTTGTTGATTGCTGCAATCTAGCAGGAAACTAGTTAATATTTTGCTAGGTTTAAATTATGTTCGTACCATTATGGAGCAGGGGCAGGCACATAAGTTAAACATGACAGCACTTCCATGGGAAAATGTTGACTCTGTGGGTGTAAGGGTGGAATTGTACTGTGTAGAGAGACTGTCCTGCCTCAGCCCTGCTCCCTCCCACAATACAGTGACCAATCCATGTTGAATTCCGGGGGGTGGGGTATTTTACAGGGCCTGGGAAAAGGCAGGATGATGCTTCCCTTGCCAGACTCCCTCTCCAACAAGGAATCTCTGGGTTTTCAACCTCTGTCTCCATGGAGGAAGAGAAGTTGCGTCGTCCTCCCCTTTAAGACTCTGCACAGCTCTGTCCTGGACTACAGTCTCTGCTTTCATATCCTTCTTTCATGTTCCCCCTTCTGCTGCAAGAGCTGTTCCCAGCTGCTTCTCTAAATGCCACTTCTATATCTTCTCCCACATTTGCCTGTGCCCCTTCAGTGCAAGCCTTTACACTTGAAATGCCCTCTCTCCAACATGCTTTAAGTAACCTTTCCCTTCATTCAAATCCTAAGCTCCTTAGGGTAGGAACTGTTTCATCATCTGTATAATGTACAGCACCAAGCACACTAATGGAGTTCAGTAAATGTGTACAGAAGATTTTGCAGCGCATCCCCTGCACTAATCCTATGACCAGCTGCAATCAATCTTTTTACACAAGCCTGAAAGCCCCATGTGCTTACAGTGAATCTGGGCAAGTCCTCTGACCCACATTACCACATCATATGTTTTGCATATTTTAAAGGAATTTCTCAATGTTCTTCTCATTCCCAGAAGGAAAAAAGTAGCTGAATAGCAATACCTGTCTTAAAAATGACTTCCCAGCCTCCTACTGTCTCTTTCATATACACTCACATATTTGGTTATATGGGTTAAATGTTATAGGGTACATAGTTCTTCACAGATTGCAGTTAAACTTCACTGCGGTCACATCCACATATTAAAACTTACTAGACTCTGGCCCAGAGTTTAGATGTTTAGTTCTGTGAAGTTTCTGAAGGAGTTGCACATTTATATGTGTGGGCAGAATTTGGTCCCAAATTACAGTTGTTTCACACTCTCATTTGCTGTGCTGTTTTGCGCACCCTCAATCCTCTCCCAAAAATGTTGTGGCCAATTTTAAATCTGACTTTATATGTTTTGCTCCAAAATACTTATAAGAAGTTCTAATTCCTGTTTTCCTTGTTCAGCTGATAACACGGGATATTGTTTCAGTTGACTTAGTGCCAGGCTCTTTGCCGTTACACTATATTATGCATGACCATAATTATTACTCACCTCAGCTCCGGGTTCACTGTTGTGATGTAGTTATAACACCTCCCAAGGATGACTTCTTGCAGATTTTTAGTGGTCCCTCTGCCTTTCCACTGTAGCAGCTGCATGCTAGTCTCTTTCGTTCCATTTGCCAGCAGCACAGCTGCCATCACAGCAACAATTGTCAGTATCAGGACCATGATGCCCACTAAAAGGACGGTACTCTGCCGCGTCCTGGAGGACCTGGTTTGGAAGGGCATCGTAGATAAAGTTAGTGAACAGCAGCAGCAACTGCTCTCTTGGTCACGACAGAAAAGTAGCTTTTTTTTATGTGCCAAACAGCACTCCCCGCCCTGCCCCCACACTCTGCCTTCACACACTGACTGATTTGGAAATTAACTGTGACCTGCTGCTTGCTGGGTTGAAATACCACAGAGAAAAAGGAACAGCCCTATTGATTCAGAGTGGAGCACAAAATTTACACAAAGCAGTGGGACGGTTTATGCACATTTGCAATCTTATTAGCAGCATCTGTGAAATTAAAGGGTGTTGCAGTGATAGGATAGTATCACATGAGTTTCCTTGCCTAAATAGATTAATGGGTTGCATAGTGTGAAAGACCCGCCTCTGATAGCCTTCCTCTGAAGCATCAGGGACAGGCTACTATCTCCCGCCCATCCCCTTTCTATAACCTCCCAGCTCCCCACCATACATGCAGTACTGTGGGCAGACTGAGCAAAAAAAAGTGGAAATTATTTTGTGCCTTGAAGCGGGAGAATTTGCCAGTCTTGTAACTTTTATTCTAGCTACTACAAAGTGATTACAGATACTTTTGTTGCTCTTTAGTGTTTTAATCCTCTCTGAAGCAGAACCCTGTTAATTGTGAAGTGCTATGACTATGCTAGAAAAGCTGATAGGGTGCAAACTGTTCTCTCTAAGGTTGAAATTGGTTTCTTATTCACAGTTCCCTATTCAAAGGCTAAAATTTTTTAAAAATCATCAATGCAAGATTTTTTTTTAAAACAAGTACACTAAAATGTGATTGCATTTTTTGAAATGGGGCAACCAGAACGGCACGTGGTATTCAAAGTGTAGGTGTGTTATGGACTTATATAGTGGAATCATGATAGTTTCTATTTTCATATCTATCCTTTTCCTAATGGTCCCTAACATTCTGTTAGGTTTTTTTGTTTTGTTTTGACTGCCACTAAACATTGAGCATATGTTTTCGGAGAACTATCCATGTTGACTCCAAGATATTTTTTTTTCTCGAGTGGTAACAGCTAATTTAGACCCCATCATTTTGTACGTATAGTTGGGATTATCTTTTCCAATGTGCATTACTTTTCCCCTGTCCACATTGAATTTCATCTGCTGTTTTGCTTTCTGCAAGTCCAAGTACATTACATTGACTGGTCACCCTGGTCCACATGCTTGTTGACCCCTCAAAGAATTCTAATAGATTGGTGAGGCATGATATCCCTTTACAAAGCCATGGTGACTTTACCCCAACAGATCATGTTTATTTGTGTGTCTGATAATTCTGTTCTTTACAGTAGTTTTGATCAAACTGCATGGTAATGAAGTTAGATTTAGCAGGGTGTAATTACCGGGATCGCCTCTGGAGTCTTTTTTTTAAATTCAGTGTTACATTAGCTAGCCTCCACTCATCTGGTACAGGGGCTGATTTAAGCAATAGGTTACAAACCACAATTAGAGTCCTGCAATTTCATGGACGAGTTCCTTCAGAACTCTTGGGTGAAGACCATCTGGTCCTGGTGACTTACTACGGTTTAATTTATCAATTTGTTCCAAAACCTCCTCTACTGACACCTCTATCCAGGACAGTGCCTCAGGGCTTGTCTACACAGGCATTTTACAGGACTGCAACTTTCTCACTCAGGGGTGTGAAAAAACACCCTCCTGAGAGCAGCAAGTTTCAGCGCCGTAAAGTGCCAGTGTAGACGGTGCACCTGCACTGGTAGCTAAGCCCCACGTGGAGCTTGGTGGGGGGTTTTTCTTTTTTTTTTTTAAGAGCACCGGGAGAGCTCTCCCCCAGAGCTCACGCTCTGCTGAGACCATCCAAGCCACGTGCAGTGCTTTAACGTTGCCAGTGTAGACTAGCCCTCATATTTGTCGCCTAAAAAGAATGGCTCAGGGGTGCGAAGACTGATGCAAAGAATTCATTTAGCTTCTCCGCAATGGCCTAGTCTTCACTGAGTGCTCCGTTAGCACCTCCATTGTCCAGTGGCCCCGCTGATTGTTTATCAGGCTTCCTGCTTCTGATGTACTTTAAAAAAAAAAAAATTACTGTTAGTTTTTGTGTCTCTTGAGAATTGTTCTTCAAATTGTTTCTTGACCTGCCTAATTATACTTGACTTGTATGCTCCTTTCTATTTTCCTCACTAGGATTTAACTTCCAATTTTTAAAGGATGCCTTTTTGCCTCTAACTTGCCTCTTTTACTTTGCTGTTTAGCCATGGTGGCACTGTTTGGTCCTCTTACTGTTTTGTTTTATTTGGAGTATGTGATGTTGGCAAACCAAGGGCCAGCTTAGGCCAAGGTGCCTGTGCCTCCTGTGAATATTGACAAACACATAGCTGGAATCAGTCTGGTTCACTTGTGTGTTTAGTATTGTTAAAATAGATATTAGAATTATAAAAATGGGCTTAGTGTTTAGACTTCATTAAATGCCTGTAAGTTGTTGCATGCATTAATCTCGCTTATAACATCTATATCCCATATTGTAAGGCAGTGGTTCTCAACCTTTACTCATTGAGGACCCCTAAAAATTTTTGAATGGAGGTGCAGCCTGCTTTGGAAATCTGTTGTCTGTATATATAGTTGAATTCTGTTCCGTCAGTTTTCAGTCTGTCTTTCATTGACCCCTTAAACATAGTCCGTGGACTCCCAGGGGTCTGTGGACCACAGGTTGAGAATCACTGTTGTAAGGCAACATTTAATGGTTTGTATTATATGGCTATGACTACACGAGAGAACTTAGTGGCGCAGCTGTACTGATGCAACTGTGCTGCTATAAGCGCTCTGTGTAGCCACTCTAAGCTGATGTGCGAGAGCTCTCCCATTGCCTTAATTACTTTAGCCCCTGCGAATAGGGGTAGCTATGTCGGCGGGAGATGCTCTCCCGCTGACGTAGTGCTGTTCACACTAGGCTTAAGTCATAGAAGCTTCTATTACTTTTTGAAACTTAGATTGGAACTCATTTGTGTGTATATACGTCCACCTGTGTTAACCTTGTCAATAACTCTCGTTTCCTTTTCCTGTATAATAAATCTTAAAATAGTTTATTATAGGATTGACTGCAAGCATTATCTTTGATATGAGATTTAAGGTGCAATTGACCTAGGGTAAGTGACTGGTCCTTTGGGACGAGGAGTAACCTGAATATTGCTGTGATCTTTGGTGGAAGCAACCATCTATCACAACGGCAAGCTTACCTGGGTGGCAAGACAGATTGGAGGGCCTCAGGGGACTGTCTGTGACTCCATGTTCAAGATGTTCCAGTGCCTGAGGAGTTTAATAACTGGCTAGAGAAACTGAAGTATAGAACTCACAGCCAATTTGGGGTTTGTGCTCTGTTTCCTAACAGTCTGGCCTGAATTTGATACCCATGCTCTTGAGCCACTGGAGGACAGCTTGATAGGGTACACGTTTAGTTTGAACCTCTATGATGGTCTTTTTAAAATAGTCCCCATGCAGCTTGCAGGTATTTTAATTTGTGACTATTCCTTTTAATTTCCATTTAACTAGCTTCCTCATTTTGTGTAGTTCCCCTTTTTGAAGTGAAATGCTACTGTGATGGGTTTTTTTGGCATTTTCCCCATACAAAGATGGTCAATTTAATTACATTATGGTCACTAGTTCAGCTATTACCTCTTGTGATGATGTACACCATTTAGGAGTAAATCAAGAATTGCCTCTCCCCAAGACAATCTGCTCCAAGAAGCAGTCATTTATGATGTCTAGAAATTTTCTCTCTACATCCATTCCTGAGGTGACATGTACCCAGTCAATATGAGGATAGTTGAAATCCCCATTGTTGTTGGGCTTTCTGCTTTTGTAGCCTCTCTAATCTTCCTGAGCATGTCACAATCACTGTCAACATCCTGGTCAGTAGTATATTCCTACCGCTACACTCTTATTGTTCAAATATGGAATTTCTATCCATAGTGATTCTATGGCACAGTTTGATTCATTTAAGATTTTTACTTTGACTTTGCTTTGTTTCACATATAGTGTCATTCTCCCACCAATGACCCACTCTGACATTATTATATATTTTGTATCCTGGTATTATCATGTCCTATTGATTATCCTCTTTTCACTAAGTTTCCGTAACGCCTTGTATGTCAATGTCCTCATTTGATGGTAGGCACTCTCATTCACCCATCTTAGTTTTTAGACATCTAGCATGATTTGTACATTTTGTCAATATTCAGTTGTTTGCCTGCATATGTTATATTTAAATGGGACACTCTTATGTTTGACTGTTCCTCATTAGCTCCTACCTGTATTTTACCAACTTCTTTCCTATTCTCTTTGCTAGGATGTAGAGTTCCCCCTTTAATGAATTCATCCCTAAGGGATGTGTTCACCTGAATCATGTGCTCTTCCACACCTGTCAGCTTTTCCCCAGCCCTTAGTTTAAAAACTCCTCCACAATCTTTTAAATTTTACATGCCACCAATCTGGTTCCTTATTTGTTTAGGTAGAGCTCATCCTTCCTCTATAGGCTCCTCCTTTCCCAAAAGATTCCCCAGTTCCTAATAAAACCTAAAACCCTCCTTCTTATGCCGTAGTCTTATCCATGCATTGAGACCCTGCAGTTCTGACTGTCTTTCTGGCCCTGCATGTGGAACTGGGAGCATTTCAGAAAATGCTACCATGGAGCTCCTGGACTTTCATTTCTTACCTAGCAGCCTAACTTTGGCATCTCTCTTACCTTTTCCTATGTCATTGATACCTACATGTATCACAATCCCTGGCTCCTCCAGCAGTGCACATAAGTCTGTCTAGATGTCTCATGAGATCTGCCACCTTTACGCCCATCAGGCAATATACCATGTGGGTTCTCCTGGTCATCATAAACCCAACTATCTTTCTTTCTAATAATCACATCACCCATTACTATTATCTGTGTCTTCCTAATAACTGGGGTCCCCCTTCCCACAAGGGTATATTCAATGCAAGAGGATACCATGACCTCATCTGGAAGAAGGGTCCCAACTATGGGACTGTTTCCTTCTGCTCCAGCTTGATGTTCTCCTTCTGTAAGATTGTCATTCTCCTTAACAGCACAGAAACTGTCAGACTGGGAGTGGGACCGCTCTATTGTGTCCCTGAAAGTCTTCTCAATGTACCTCTGTCTTCCTTAGCTTCTCCAGTTCAGCCACTCTGCCCTCAGGAGCCTGTATTTTGTCTCTGAGAGCCACTGAGCTGCTTGTACCATACGCGCACATTCTCCACCTGTCCACAAACCAGTAATCATACATGCTACATTCAGTGCAACAAACTGGATAGCCCCACTCTGCTGCTAGACTGTCTGCATTATTTTTATTCTTGCAGGGTTTGTTGTTGTTTGGGGGTATTTTTTGGGGGGGGGTTGCTTTTGTTTTCTTTCTCTCGCTATCTTTCTCCCTCTTCTTTTTTGTTTTTGGTAGGGACTTTTCTGGTGCCCTTCCAATAATTAGGTTATAGTTCCTCAGCCACCTTCTCCCCCTGCCACTGAACCCTCAGTGCAGCCAAACTCTCCTAACCTTGGTAGCTCACTCAGTCGAGTGCTCTCCCCCTCGGTCATGGGGCTCCCTCTGCTCCATAACTGGACCTGGAAGGAATGCCTTTCTCACTCCCTCTCTAAACTCCCCTGTTTGCTGCTGCTGGTCACTTAGGAGCTGGATTTTTAAACCCCTGTTCTCCCAGAGTTAGCCTGGCCTCCTTGTCAAGGGACCCTAAAGGGGTTATGGATCAAGGGATAGCAGGCTAGAGCCTGGCTAGTGTAAACTCAGCCTAGCCAACCACCTGGTTCAGCACACAGCCCCTAAACCAGAGCACACAGCAATCTTCAGTCAAGCAGGCACACAGCAAGCAAACCAGCACACAACAAACAAACTAACAGGCAAATAAAGTTAAAAGACAAGGTGAGTGAAGTAAAACACTATACCATACAATTCTGTGTAACTTAAAACCTTGTCTCTTTCACCAACAGAATTTGGTCCAATAAAAGATATTAACTCACCCACTGTGTCTCTCTCTAGGATCCTGGGACATACACAGTTACAACAAACAGACAGCCTCACCCCAAGGATCACATATTTTCTCCTGACTCCTCCCTCACCTGGAGAAGTTCCTCATAAAACTCCCTTGTTTGTTGTGCCTGTTCACCAGTGAATAGTTAATTCTGTAGTACCTTAGCATTGTGCTAGGTGCTTTTCAAAACAACTGATAAGACTCCTGCCCCCAAGAGTTTACAGTCTAATCTTAAAGGATAAGAAAAGGGGGTTGTGGCAGAGGGTGATGAAGGTATCACTTAGATCAAAGGGATTCTCTGTTTAAGAATGTGATGATTCTGCTTTTGATTTAATTCACACATACTCACCACTTCTTGACGTGAGTGCTCTGGCAGAAGGGAATTTTAGGAGGGAACTGAATAAGGAGAAGATAGTGGGTCAGAATCAGCAAGCAGGGAGAGGCAAGTATTTCATGGGCAGGAAAAGCATGGAACCTTACCTACATATAACAACAAGACTGATACAAGACTGCACAAAAGCATTTCAAAGGTGCACACAACATCCACAAACCCTTCTGAAACCCCAGTAAAGCATACACACAGACAGGTGTGCACACATGTACTCTGTGGTCAGATTCAAGGAAGCAGGACAAAAAAATAAAGAGGGGTTAATTGTGGTTTTTCTTGTAAGGCTCACAGATAGTAGAATAACTTGTGGATACCTAGGTATTCCCTGCCCCTTTTCTAAACAAAACAAAACAAAAAATAAATAAAATATTGGGCAAGGTCAAACAACTCAAACACAAGAGTAGAGTGTTGCATTTTCAGATTATCTACTTCCCGATAACAAAACTCCTGGGAGGGACCAACCAGAAACTCAACTGGTTGGAACAGAAACAGGTAACTGTAGCAGCTACAAGGAAGCAGGGAGCTGAGACCCAAACAGAGTTACCCTCCCCTCGAGCATCCCGGACCCAGAGCTCTGCAGGGGAGAGCCCCACTCTGGGGACACCAAGGCCATGTGGTGGCTGCTCCCCTCCATGTGACCTCAAGAAAGAGAGAAACCGCTGGGAGGCCAGGCCTCATCCAGATACGCAGCCAGGAGGAGCAGCTGCAGCATGGACTGGGTGTATCATCAGTGCCCAACTGCTTTCCTTCCCCTGTTCCCTTCCACTCACTCCTGTCCCTTCCTTCATGGTCTCTCCATGTCAGTCTCACGTCACCAGCCTTCCATGCGCCAAGTTCCTCTTGTCCCTAGTTTCTCTCTATTTAGCTACTCCCCTCCCAATAAAACCTCACCCCAAACTGTAAAAGTAAAAAGAAACCAATGAAAAAATTTATGACACGAAAATTGTGTTTACCAACCACCACATAGTTCACTTGTTTGGTTGCTATATCCCTTCTCCCCCATCCCTTTGTTTCTCTTATCTATACAGGCGGTGTCTACACTGCAAACTTATGTCAACACAAATTACGACAGCATACAATTGTCGCAGTTAGTACATCACTTGTGTGCATGCATATGTGGCTCCTTGTGTCGGCAGTGCATGCACTCACCAGGAGTTCTTGTATCGATAGAGTGCAGCTCATCATGGAGAGAGATCCCACTGTGCAACTTGCCATCATCCAGTGTACGTCCAGGGTTGAAATGAGTTGCGTGGGGTGACTGGGAGCATGGGGTTTGCAGTTTTCAGCTGTCTCCATCACATGTTATCTGTGTCCCATAATTTTTGCACCTTTTTTCAAAATCCCACAAACCTGTGTGGCCCTCCTCGCTGTCCACCATCTCTGACAGAAGCATGGATCATGCACAGTTCTGCACTAGTGTCATGAGCCTTGTAAGCACAGAGCACACAATCCTGGAGTATTTGCAGAGCCACAAGAAGAACTGAATCAGTGGAGAACATGATGATTCTTTGGAGAAGAGATCGCTGTGGGACATAGCGAGAACCAATCAAGGTTGTTGGTGGCACTCAAGGAGCAGCTGCAGATGGAGAGAAACAAGCACTGACTGGTCAGGTCACATTGTAATGCAGGTTTGGGATGATGAGCAGTGGTTGCAGAACTTTTGGATGCGCAAGGCCCATTCCTGGATCTGTGTGCTGAGCTTGCCCCAGCCCTTGAGTGCAGGGACACCAAAATGAGAGCTGCACTTGTGACAGATTTATGTTACCAATCTGCCTGAGGGGGCCATTGCGTTGTGACACACTGACAGTGGAGAAGTTAATGGAGATCACACTGTGGAAACTTGCAACACTAGATTGCTACCAGTCAGTCAGAAATCAGTTTCAAGTCAGAAAATCCACTGTGGGGGCCATTATAATGCAAGTTTGCAGGGTCCTTAACCTTCAGCAATGTAATGGATGGATTTGTAGCAGCACAGTTCCCGAACTGTAGTGGAGTGATAGATGGCATGCATATCTCTATTTTTGCACCAGAGTACATCAACAGAAAAGACTACTTTTCTGTGGTTATGCAAGCATTGGTAGATCACCAGGGACGCTTCACTGACACCAATGTGGGCTGGTCGGGGAAGGTGCAAGGCACTCACAACTTTAAAACAGTTTTTGAAAGCTTGTCTCTTTCACCAGCAGAAGTTGGTGTAATGCTCATCCACCTTGTCTCTATATTTTCAGAGGCATTTTCAAAGGTCATTTTATTTGGGTATTGGTTCTGAATATCTGATCAGACAGATAGCTGCACAGACACTGGTGTATGTGTGTGGTCAGAATCTGACCACAGAGTACACGTGTGCACACCTGTCCGTGTGTATGCTTTACTGGGGTTTCAGAAGGGTTTGTGGATGTTGTGTGCACCTCTGAAATGCTTTTGTGCAGTCTTGTATCAGTCTTGTTGTTATACGTAGGTAAGGTTCCTGCACTTCTCATGGACGTTTCAGTGCTACAATGCTTTTTATTTTATAAACAGGTGGTACTATGGCAAATATAACATTGCATGTGCTGATGATTTTCCTGACTTCTGATCTGTGCCTCTAACAAAGACTGGAGGGCCTGTGGCTAATCAACCATAGTGCAGTTCTTAAGGGGCCTTGGAGAGAAGGAAATGGGGGCAAGAGTGCTGCAGAGTGATCTCTGCCCATGAGGGGGTGCTCAGGAGAGTGTTGGCCCTGGTACGGGGCTTAAGATATTTCCGTGTTTACATACCTATTCATCTTTGAAAATCCAGGCCAGAATCCTCAGTTCCAGTGACAGGTTTCAGAGGAACAGCCGTGTCAGCCAGTGAGAGAGAGGTGCCACCACGGGGGCTGATGGAGGTTACGGTGCAACACTATCATTTTGGTTTCCATTATTGAATTTGTCTTTGATAATTCTCATCTCTCTGGTCTCACTGTCATGACCTGCTTAGAGTGGGCACCATCACTTGGGTCTGACCTGCTTTGTCTGTGTCTAACCTCATTTGAAAGCTCCTTGGGATAGGGCCCAGGACTTTGGTTGTCAGCCGAGTTTGAATTTAGGTTCTTCAGTGCTAAGGGTGTGAGCTGCTTGAACCAAAAGAGTAACTCCATTAGCTGAAAGCTATAATAAATGTTTATCCCCATATGTGGATTAGCCGCTAGAAGGGGACAAAGACATACTGTGTTCTACTTTGGGTTACACATAAGCACAATGCTGACTGAACAAATAATAAACCCAATACTCTTCCACCCACTCTTATTTTGATAGTCCTATATATTAACCTCTTCATGGTTTTTTCTTTAAAATGCTCATTTAAATAAAAATGAAATCTAAAAGAGCAATTTTCCACTCCCTACTAAGAGAGAACAGGATACCAAATATTGCAATGCTGAAGCAAAATGCTATGTTGTGTAAATAAAAGCACATACAGTAAGGTTATGCTATCTCTATTTACTTGAAACAAAAGATTCCTTGTGAAGTAAAATATATAAATGTTTAACAAGGCAGTTGGGTTTGATGGCCTTGTCCACTAATCGGGCATTGCAGTGTTTCATCACTTTATGCCTTTGTTATGTAATTTGTTTTGTTTTTAATTCTTGGAAAACATACTTAAGCATTTTACCTATTTGCTTGATTGTACGAAGAAGCTGGTTGGGTAATTGCAAATCTGGCCTAGCTTTTTTAGCAAGGTTTGAATACTAAATAAGTGATACTTGTTGTTATTGGCAACAAACGACAAAAACAGTATTTGTTAAATCACACGCCAGGAATAGAAATCAACTTTGCTTCCTTTGCAGCTGAGGTTCTTGAAACTGTGCCTTTATCTTAGAACCTTGATTTCAGCTTTTGCTGTGCTCTTTGGAGAGTAACTTGTTTTGTGTCTGATTTATAGCTCATTAATTATTTATGAAACAACAGTGGCTACTATAGCAGTTAAGGTTTTGTGAATGTTTCCATTGTAACCTTCTGTTTTTGAGCCACCTTCAACTTTCTATAACTGTCACATTTCAGGTTTGGGGGGGTGGGGGTGGGTCTATGCTTTCAGGTGACTTATTGTGGAAAGGTTGTGCAAAATCAGTTCAGCAGCAGTGTTTTGGAGTAGGAGGATGGTGGGGTGTAGAGGGGCGGCGGGAAGAAGAAATAGTGTTTCCCATTCAAAAAAATCTCGGACAGTGCTACAGCGGAAAGAGTGAGGAGTATTAAGCTCTAGCTTCATATAGAAATAGTACCCGCTGAAAAGATGCCTTGGAATGTTGTAGTAAAAATGGTAAGTCTTTGATTTGACAGAGTTATGAACCTATTAAATAACTGTGATGCCAACACTTGTGATTTTATCATGAGTTCCACAATATCTGGTGTTTTGCTCCAATCTCCAGCTCCTGGAATCATATTATACACAAATCTCAGCTTGCTTTTTTTTTTTTTTCAATTAATATTTTCATAAATTATTCCTGATTTAGATTGCAATAAGTGAGAGGAGAATAAGACATGATGTTTGAATATAGGGTACGTTCCATCAGCAACATGATAAAATACAAGGTTCCCAGCCGTACACGCCACCATTACTCAGTGATGATAATTCTTTGTACTGCAGCGTGCTGGCAATGTCATGCAGACTGCTCCAAGCCCCAGTCTTGAGACAGAATTGTTAGAATGTAGGTTAGAATGTGCTTGAGTG